GTGACCACAGTGTTCTGCCTTAATTTGTGGCGTTTTTCTAAGAACTGGCTGCTATGTACTGTGCGAAATCAATCGATCTTGCAAGAATAAAATTTGGACATCCCTCTTCTAAGAATTCCAATTGAGTGTGTTAGTATGGCCAGCTCAGGGCAATATGATATTATAAACACAGCACATATCACGTCTCTGCTGTTTATAACTTCATATGAAAGAAAACACGCCATCCATAACAGTTTGAATGAGGAAATCTCTTCAAAGAGCAACACGATTTTGCTGCAAGACAGGCATATTTAACGATGACTTAACGCAGCTAAACTCATGTCCCATTATATATAGAACTTCTGACAACAGACCAGCGAAAAATCTAACAATCTACAGCAAAACCATCAATTATTATGGGCGTTATAACATAGGTGTGTAGCTGGACGAAACATAGACGTCGAACCCCCGCAGACGATTTAAATACCTTGACGAAACATACACGTCAAACCATGCTGAACAGTTAACAACAAGGCAGTGCTCATAAGTTGTTCTGAAACTGCCACACCATCATTCCCTATAGCATAAATATATGAACTAGAGCAGCAATTACTGTACTGAAAACTTCTAAACTTTTCAGAGGCATTTTGTTCGCCCTACAGTTTAAGAAGACAGAGAGTGGTTCACTTGGAGGAGACCCATAGTTCATAATTATACATTACACAGTAAGCAAACTTTGCAACACTATGTACTTTACAACACATGTAACCACCAATTATCTACGTATCTACAGGGTGATTCACGAAGTTTTACTCCGGCTTATGGTACATATTCCTGGGGTTATTTCCTGCAAAATTTCCTTATAAACTTGTGGTCGATTTTCAATAGTTACGGAGTAACAATAGATTTTCGAAACATATCATTGTGAATGCAGGGCTATGCTTCCCTCCTCGTGCGACCTTGCGTTCCAGTCAGCTGTGTCAGCAGATAAGGCACACTGCCTGGAATGTTGCACGATCCTAGGCAGAGCAATCCAGTAGCAAACAGCACGTTGTGTTGGTGACTTTGTGAAGTTAAGATGCTGTACACATTTTCCACTGAGGAATACGCCGATATGGTGTTTGTTTTGGGTGTATGTGATGGAAATGCAAGAGCTATTGCTGCCAAATATCACTGGCATTATCCTAATTGCAGGATTACAAATCCTAAATCCATTAGCAGTTCATTCAACACATTAAGACAAACTGGTTCTCTCCCCAGCGTTCGTATACAATACGAACAAAATCCTCAACATGAACTGAGCGCAGAAGAAAACATTCTCGATGCTGTAGAGCGCACTCCGCGTGCCAGTACAAGACATCTAGCTCGGCGGTTCGGTGTTTCTCAGTCCATGGCGTGGAGGACTCTTCATGAGAACAGGCTGCATCCTTATCATTTACAGTAAGTACAACACCTACAACTGGGAGACCGTGCTCTTCGTCTGCAGTTCTGCAACTGGTTAAATGGAAATCAGCAGTTGTACCGCTCGATAATGTTCTGCGATGAGGCACAGTTTACACATGACGGGGTCAACAACAGTCACAACTTACATGTTTGGGCAGACAATAATCCCTGTGCCACAGTAGAATCAAATTTTCAACAATGATTCAGTGTCAATGTCTGGTGTGGTGTTTTGTATGATCAGCTAATCAGGCTGTTCATTTTTCCTGGCTGCTTAACTGGTGAGATTTACCTCCGCTTCTTAGAAGAAGAATTACAACAGTTACTTGAAGATGTTCCTCTGGCAACAAGACACTGGATGTACTTCAGATTCCTCACTTCTCCCGCGCAGTAGCAGCTCACTTGGATGGGCATTTTCCACAACGGTGGATTGGTCGCGGAGGCCGTAATGCCTGGCCTCCCAGGTCGCCCGATCTAATTCTGTTAGATTATTGTATTTGGGGCTGGATGAAGGACATTGTGTATCAGGTAAAGGTACAAACACGTGAAGCGTTGCTTGAACATATTCTGGACCCGGCGATGACAATAAGGAACAAACGTGTGGAACTGCGAAATGTACGAGTGCAGTTCATACGTGTGCGACCCGTTGTGTTGATGTGCAGGGAGACATTTTTGAAAGTCTTATGTAAATCCAGTTGTCTTCTAAAGCACTACAGTTCAAAGGAAACAGATTGACAGAAGGGTGTGATATGCAACCATTGGTATGTTTACAGAATGGGATGCTGCAAATAATGTAATTTTGTAACATAAAATCGATGAAAAATGTTGCACAATGCAAAATTAAGAAATTGAAGAAAAAAATTTGGGTTTAGAATGCTTCTTTCCTAAAACATCAACGATTTAAAAAGTGTCTGTATTGTATTTCTAATTTGTTTTGACTGAAATTCGAATAAAAAAAGATTTTTCGCCAGTTTTCAAATTACTGTATCTCTTTAATTATGAGTTGGATACCATTAGTAAATTAAAAATTTTTGTTCCAAATTACCTCAGGAATGCCCTCCCTAAGTGGGGGTAAAACTTCGTGAATCACCCTGTATAGCCCACTCAATTCCTCATTCTACACACATCAACCCTTATCATCAAGACAACATATTTCACTAAAACGTCAGTACCTACCAAAAGGGCTACACAGTCAAAACCCAGCAGACAAAACTCTGTACTGTATTTTTATTTGAGCACTCTTTCCGTTCCGTGAATCATCTTGTATTTAGACATGTATTCACCAAGTTTCATTTAATTGGTAAATTACTACAAGATTTATAATTATCGACTGAGGAACTCCTCTGGGTGTGTCAGTTTAATATTAATTTTGAATGGGTGCTCAAACATGTTGGCTGCGCCTCAGATTAAACTGAACGTACAGTAAAGACACATGCACTAACCTTGCTGTGTGGTGGGAACCATCTTAAACACCTGTCCACCCGGCACCTTCAGCGTCTCAAGGGCACGCTTCTGTTGGTGCGCAGCACGCTGCATCTTCAACTGCTGCTCCATTTTCTCCTTTATTTCCTCGGGCGTGGCTTTTCCACTCACTATCTCCAACTTGCCTGTTGTCCCTGTTCCCGTTGCAGTGGTACCCACATCACCAACAGTCTTGGGCACTACAGAACCCGACCGGCTCCTAGTAACAACTTGGGCATTAACCTTCTCTAACCTAGAGATAAACAGTAGAAAATAACACAGGCACACGGTGTTAGCAGTGCCAGATGCCATGCAACGTTCACAAAAGAAATATATTCTTTTTGAAACAAAAGAAAATAAAAAAATTCAGAGAATGGTGCAGAAAATTAGAAGGATTAGTAAGATATATACATGCATTAATTATCAGGAATTGGATTATTAAATAAAATAAAACCAGCTGTAGCATTCTGCATTACAATGTCATATAGTCTGGTAGATGGATACCAACATTTTGATGGAACACAGCGCCTCAACCTTCTACAATGAAGATGGAGGCAGTACACTCCTCTGAAACACCAATATCCATCTACCAGACTACACAGTGACATACACTACATTTGAAACATCCCTGAGAGTGTGTAATTATCAGCAACAGGGAGTTACTAGCTACTGTTTTCAACACATGATGGAACAAAATTCACCACACCAGAGATATTACTGAACACACACAACTTTTCTTTCATAAGATTACCTAGTCAAGGTATGACACACCCTAAAAGATGTTTCAGGCAAGTTTATTGCAGAAGACTACAATATGGGTCTTCAATGATGTGAAAGCCTCAAATGTTATGAAGAAAATTGACATTAAGTTGATATGTGAGGAAAAAGAGTATAGCTGATGCAACTGGCAAAATACTCAAGAACACGCTACAATAACTATACAATTTCCCACATACGTATCTGCACTTACTCTTCTAAGAAACTGCTTTCAGTAAGATTCAGTAGTGATTAAAATTACTTGTTAAGACAGGACATGAAAAAGTGAATCAAAATTACTGGACAAAACTTGTAAAATATAAAGAATCACAGAAGAAAGTTTCCTTACTCATGTCCCATTAACTTTTAATATTAATAGATTGCATTGATGTAAACATACAACTGTGCAGTTAAGCTGACTTTCACATTTTTTCCAATATTCACCTTTTCGGTGATAATTAAAAATTCATTTTGAATTCTCTAACATATGATATACATGGTCCCTAACTAACATAATACATATGATCTTGTAAATTTTCATGTACGGTGGAATTATATTCACTGGACATGTACCTCCCATGAAAAATCTAATGTAAAGTGTTGTAATGTAATGGAAAGGCCAACCACAAAACTGTGTTAATTAAAAATCCAGCTTAGTAAAAAAATTGCCCTACTTTAAAAACCATGTTAAACTGAATTCATGTCGGTGGATCTCATGGCAGCTGGGAATGGAGAGTACACGTTACTGTGTTCAGACTACTGAATGCCTGCATATGATGAGTATGAGTATGAGGGGTGAGCCATAAAAACCGGCCCTCGCACCATGACCTTCAATGATCTATTGTGCTTCCCCTTTGGATTAACCCTTTATTAATCCTACACTTCGAATGAAATGTAGGACTTTATTCATGGGGGCATCATAAAAGTCACTTGGTTCCATGAAGAACTGACCCAGGTGGCAGACTGCATATGATGCTAATATATTTCAAGTTACACAAAATGGCACGCAGAAACTCTTGAACAGCTCGGGTTTTATGAAATTGGATCACAGGGTGAATGTCAAGAAAGTTAAAGGTATATCACTAATGGGTAAAAACTGCTAACCTGAAATTAAAATCTTTAGGAAATTTTGTTATATATTCTCTTCTTGCATTATTTGGTATCAATGTGTCATTCTTTTAATGATATGTAAGATCATGGTTAGCATATACATTTCTTCTGATATCCTCCCATCTACATGGTGCAATCCAAAAGTTCCCGAAATTTGAACTTCGCGTGCGAACGGTTATGAGTACATCATAATACCACTAGATGTCTTCCCATACACCCTTCTTGAATAAGTGTGGCTGGCGGCGTCAAGTTGAGTGGTTGGTTTTATTGTTGGTGAACGTATTTCCATTGTTGTGTTTCCGTGAGTTTGCGGTTTTGCAATGGCTGACCTGAGAGAGCAGCGTGTCTGTATGAAGTTCTGTTTTAAACTTGGGAAAACCGCTGCAGAAATGCACCAAATGTTGAAGCAAACTTTTCGTGACAACAATTTAAGCAGACACAAATTTACGACTGGTATAAGCGTTTAAAAAATGGCCAAACATCAACTGACGATGACGATCATTCGGTATGGCCGTCAACTGGCACCACAGCAGAAAATGTCATGAAAGTTAGGGATCTGACTCTGCAAGATCGTAGACTGACCATCCAAGACCTCTGTAACACCTTGGGACTAAGTTATGGCACACATCAAAGAATTTTGTCATAGGAACTGAACATGAGGAGGATGGCAGCAAAGTTTGTGCCACGACTGCTGCAAAATAAACAGAAGCAGCATCACTTGGAAATCTGCAGGGAACGTCAACAACAGCTTCAAGAGGATCCAAATTTTCTTTCAAAGGTTGTCACTGGTGACAAAAGTTGGGTTTATGGCTACGACCCTGAAAGTAAGAGCAATCATCGCAATGGAAGAGCCCTTCTTCACCTAGGACAAAAATAGCTTGACAAGTCAAGAGCAGCATTAAGTCTATGTTGATCTGTTTTGTTGATACTGACGGGATTGTTCCTAAGGAGTTTGTCCCTCCTGGTCAGACAGTCAATAAAGAGTTATATCGCGATGTTCTAAGGCATTTGAGGGAGGACATGAGGAGAAAACGTCCAGAGAAGTGGTGCACGAATGAGTGGGTACTCCACCATGACAATGCACGACCGCATATGGCTTACATGGTGCTGCAATTTTTGGCTAAGAACAAGATGGCAGTTGTTCCCCACCCACCGTACTCACCAGACTTAGCTCCATGTGACTTCTTTCTCTTCCCCAAGATGAAAATCAAGTTGAAGGGGCGAAGATTTGATACAGTTGAGGAAATTCAAGTGGAAACACAGACAGTACTAAACACCCTAACAAAGAAACACTTCCAGGATGCATTTCAAAAGTGGCAGAAATGCTGGGATTCGTGTATGCGCTCCCAAGGGGACTACTTTGAAGGTGATGGTGCAGAATAAGATCCAGGTAAGACGTAATAGTTTTTATTAATATATTTCAAGAACTTTTGGATTGCACCACATATGTACAGGTCTTCCTAGTGGTCTTTCCTTCAGGTTTTCCTGCCAAAATGCTATATGCACTTCCCATGCATGCCACATGCTATGTCCATCTAACCCTCCTTTGTGTGATAATTCTAATAATACCTGGCATGAAATGCAAATTATGAAGCTCCTCATTATGCCATTTTCTCCATCATCCTGTTACTTCAACTGTCTTAGATCCGAACACTCTCCTCAGCACCCTGTTCTCAAACATCCTCTATCCATTTTCTTGCCTTAATGTGACAATCAAGTTTCACAACCATACAAAACAACATGCAAGGATATAGCTCTAGATAATTTAATCTTTACATTTTCATACAGCAGAACAGTGGAGAAAATATTCTGAACTTAATGGCAGTAAGCCTTCTCTAAATTTAATGTGCTCTTAATTCCTTCATTAATGCAATTTTTATTCGTTAATGTCAAGCTAAGAAAAATGGACATGGGATTTGTTATGTGGAATGAAAGAAGTTTGTATAGGGCAGGTTCACTTATGACAGTTGTGAAAGAAATATCAAAACATAAGTCATATTTAGTGGGAGTAAAGGTGGTCAGATGGGACAGAGGTGGCACTGAACCAGCAGGTTAATACACATTTTTCTATGGAAAGGGGAATGAGAATTATGAATTAGGTAGAGATTTTTTTTTTGTACATAAAAGTTCACGAATGGGGGCGAAGAGGAATGCATATAGGATTTTGGTGGGAAAGTCAGAAGGATAGAGACCACTAGGAAGACCAAGATGTAGGTGGGTGGATAATATGAAAATTGATCTTTGAGAGACAGGATGGCATGATGTTAAATGGATTGATCTGGTTCAGGATAGAGACCAGTGGAGGGCTCTTGTGAACATGGCAATGAACCCTCGCGTTCCATAAAATGCTGGGAAGCCTTGAGTATCTGCAAAACTGGCGGCTCCTACAGAAGGGCTGAGCTCCAAGAAGTTAGTTAGTTACTGTCATTTCCAAACATTTGAACTTCATACTGTCAAAGGTTCTATTAGATCCCCATTCTTCTTACTTAAACCACCAACAAAAACTCCTTGCACACCAGGCTCATGCACAGACATCCACATTTCTAATGCCAATAATAATATGGGACATGTGACATACCTGTCTCCATACTGCTTGATCTCCCATAGTTCAAGCTTCTCTTCTTCCACCCATTCTTCCGTAACTTGTGGCTCAGTACTCTGCGGAGACTCAGCCCGTTTTCGTTTGCGTAGTCCACTGCGAATGGATGTCACCTCTATGGGGGGGAAGAGTGGAAAAATTAACTTTCATACTTGATACTTCAGTACCAATGTTCTGAAGGAACATACAGTCTCCACTACCCTCCATCCTGAGGTTGGAGGCTATACATCACACACCAAACATCAATTAGCTCAGTCAGTATAGTGACCAGGCTAAAGGTAAAATGATCTCATATTTCTTCCTGGGGTGATGCCTAAGCACAAGGTAAACTTCACTTTGAATACAGAATCTCTATACAAATTCACTGGGGCATGCAGCAGCATGGTTGAGGCACTGTGCTATAAGCCAGAAGATTGTGGGTTTGATTTCCGATCAGGTCATCGCATTTTTCAATTGACCTACTCCTTCCAGCCACACTATGGCCCTAGGGTTGACTCTGCTCCTAACGGAAATGGCTACCAGGATCTTCCTGGGGGTAAAGAGTGGCCAGCCAGCATGTAAGGCTGACAAATCTCACTGCTATCTGCGAGTCGATTGTCTAGTAAATGTGGAAGCCTTGACACCTCATGACCCTATGGGTCTCCACAGCCTGTTACTGGGATAGCTTTACCTTCTTACCTTATACAAATTCAGTACCAAGCAAGTCAGTCTCGCAGAAATGCTCTAAATTTGTATTTGGAACGTAAATAATGCACAGGAAATCACTTATCCTGGGCAATGGTGTTTGTTGTTTCCTTCAGTCGCCCCAGGCTAATGCCAGGACAATACCTCACTTAGACAGTACTTGTTTCCTTCCAAATCCCTTCCAATTCATCATTCATCACCCTACCGCTTGGCACATGCTCCAGATACTGACAGCACTGTAAACCCCCCCCCCCTCAAAATGAGAGAAAGAAAAATCAATCACTCACCATGCATTATAAACACATTTTTGCCAAAGAATGGGAAGAATACTTTGCATTGATATGATTACAATCATCACTCACCACGAACTGTTTTTGGTAGCTCCAATGGTATGACAACTTTTCTCCTCAGGTACTGTGTCCTGTCCATGAATTTCCCCACATGACGATGCTTGAGGATCTCCAGCGTCATTATTTCTGTGTCTGTCGTGACTTGATGCTTGCCATCATTGGATGGAGGCTTCACCTAACACATGATTGAAAACAGGAACTGTGTTTTACGAGCCTGTTACCATTACAAGAGACCAAGCAAGTTGGCACGTATGATAAACACTCTTAGCATGAATTCAGGGGGTGCTTGGTTAAAATCATGGCTGGTAAATCTACTATCCAACTATCACGGGTTTCCTCAGTCCCTCCAGGAAACTGTCAAAATAGTGCCCCACTTAGGGCATGATCACTTCTTTCCACATCTCTTCGAATTCATCATTCAACTATCATTATAGCACTCAGTGCTGAGTAGCTTAGCTACTGACAGCCCAATAAACTAACCCACAACAAAAACAAGAAGATATAACTCTGATTTATATGAACTACACTAACCTGCATATCATCCCATCGTAGACATGCCCACATTATGCGTAACTGTAGCGCAGCAGCTGCAAGTGAGCGAAGGTTAACAGTTCTGTACAACCAGCAGGTCTTAAACAGTGGTCTTGAACAAGGATATGGCCATACTTGCTGATTAGCCTGCGAACACGAACACAGCACTGTAGATTTATGTCACAAGTAACCCAATGGAGCCTTTAGACTGCTGCTGTAATTAAGAATGGTGTGCTCCAACATTACCACTTCATGCCATACAAGCTTGGCTACGTACATAATTGTTAAATGAACCACAAAAAAATACGCAGACTTTACTATACCTTTGCTAGATGATGGTAGCCATTAACAGCCATACGACCACCTAGGCGGGAGAGTCGTCTTAACTCATGTTGTGGCAAAATTAGCATGTTTCGACGCTTACTTCTTGTCTGGAACGTGGAGCACAAAGGATACTTCACAGGAGTTCGTTTCTTGCGTCGATCTGCTAAAGAAACCGCTACTTTCTTCAGGTACACACGGCCCTTCGTTGATGTTGCAGAATACACACGCCGATTCTCGGCTGTCTGTCCAATCTCTGTTGAACTGCTTTGACTAGTCACTGTTTTCACAGAACTACCATTCTCTTTGTTTACCACTGTGGTTGCCACCTCGCTGGACATCTTATTCTTTGATGTCAGAATTGAGTTCAACAGTTTGCCACTGAAACAAACAGACGAAACCAAAAATTAGAATACAGATTATAATCAAACTCAATTACAAGTACCAACATTATTGAGAAAATATGGAAACATGGAAGACACAAGAAAAATGTATAACACTTTAATAAGGGAACTTGATGGGAAAAGACACAGATGGAAGGATATGAAAATCGGTCTCAAGGAAACAGCTGGTACAGGTGGGGATCAGATTCATCTTACTCAGCCTACAGACCGGTGTGACTTGTTTATTTTACAATGTTTCAGCATCACAGACTATACAGCACAGAAAGGTTGGATAACGCACAAATGGTAAAGTGGGAAGGATTTGGAAGGAACAGGTCACAGTCTAATCGAGGGACTATCCTTGCATTTGCCTGATAAGACTAAGAAAAACTATGAAAACCTTCAGTCAGGGTACGGGTGTCACAGCCAAGATTCGAACTGAGCATTCTCAACACAAGCCTAAAATATTCTGCTAGACCAATCCATTTAAGTTGGGAATCCACAAGTGGGCTCAGGTAAATTCAGATTACATACAAGGTTAGTAATTTTGTCACTACCCAAATGACTTTCAGCTTCTCAAGGAGGGCTCTGTTACACTGAGTTAGATATCTCTTTAAATGGTACATTAGTAAGTAAAAGTAAAGGTATCCCTGTAACAGGCCTTGGAGGCCCAAAGGGTTGTGAGATGTTGCGGTTCCCACATTTTCTAGACAATCGGCTCATAGCTGGCAATAAGGTTGTCAGCCCCATGCGCTGGCTGCCCTTTACCCCCAAGAATATTCCTGTACTCTTTTCTGTTAGAGGCTGAGTCGACCCCAGGGCCATAGTGCAGGTGGAAGGAGTAGGTCAACTGAAAAAATCTACCTCACTGGGATTCGATCCCTCGACCTTCCGGCTTGTAGCATAGTGCCTCAAGCAACTACGCTATCATGTGCCCCCATTACATGTAAATGTATAATGCCATCACATGTAACACAACACAAATATTGTTGGTTCCCACAATATTATACCATTTCAACAGTTCACTGAATGTTATAAGCCATGGAACATGTTTCAACTGCAGTCCTCTCAGAATTTAATAACCCCTAGGCCTGCTTGTTGGTGTTGTAGAAAGCAAGTACCACATGAAGTTCTCCCAGTGCTTAATTAAGAACCACACCATTAAGATGGATGGGGGAGTGATGGTATAGAGCTCCATGCCTTCTTAACACTGACACTAGGTGGAGGCCAGAGGTCAACTTACCACCCACTTGTTAGGAGGCTGCGTATGCCCCTTAGCCAGCGTGGGTGCTGTGGCAAAGAGAAAAATTCTTCTGCCCCTGCCAGGAGTCAAAACAACATTTCTTGGATGTCCAGCCACAGCATAGCCACCATACTGACTACGCTATTCTAGGTCCTCATAACTAATACTATCAGCATTACTGTATTATCTAGACATTAAGAAACACAACATATAATTACATTACATGATCTTAGAACCATATCTAAAATTTCATTACCACAGAATTAGCAGGTTTGCTAACAACGTCCGCCTTACCTGGATGGGTGTGACGCCACCACACTCTTATGGGTATTGAGTAATGTAGCTTTGGATTCTGTAACCTTAATATTCCGGACTGTTCCATCTACAATCTTAAGAGTGTGCCGTGATGAAGTGGTGGTAGTCGTAGTTACCACTTCACTTGTAGTTGTGACATGAACATCATCCACTTCTATGATTGAAGCATCCTTGAAATGAAAACAAAAAGCAAGAGCCATAAAGGTCTAAGGTTCTCAGAGTGGTGAATGTTAAGATTATAAAGGTCTAAGTTTCTCAGAGTGGTGAATGTTAAGATTATAAAGGTCTAAGGTTCTCAGAGTGGTGAATGTTAAGATTATAAAGTCTCTCAGGATGTGCTACTGTGTAGTTTGGCAGATAGCGTAACGCAAGTGCGTAACGCCTTCATTTTCATTTTCAAGTTGGCAGAGGTGAAAATGGAGATGTTACATTCTTCTGAAATGTTTTAAACATGTGCCACACTATACAGCACATAGGACGACCATAATCTTAATCAATCTTGAAGCCACAAATCACTGGACCTGTGCAACCTGCCACAGATATCATTTCACATACCATACCATCACTAGCTACAGGGGAACCTGTGTCCTCAAATTATCAATACTCACTGCTAATTCCATCAGTGGAGAGGGTGTCAGGACGGATCCTGTCAAGCAATGGGCTGTTGCCACTGTATATGCAAATGTCACTCTCTCCTATAGATGCCACTCACATGCAAAGAAACTTTTAATCCCGCTTGAATTTTTACATGGTAGTCAGTCATTTTCCCATAAAAATATCTTGATTTTCAACTTACACTCAAAAGAGAAAAGAAGAAAACATGTGAAGAACAATCAATAATCGCTTATGTTTTGACTCCTTCATGCTCTAATAAGCTACAATTACAGTTTCTCTGCATTTGAGTGACATCTGTAGGAGTAAATAACATTTACATATACAAAGACAATAACCTGCAATCTGACGGAGACTGATATGAGCATCTGGTAGACTTCAACATGTGTAATAAGTATTGGCAGTGAAAATTTTAACCCTTTCTGGCCTAATGTTGATATACAATTGACATGGTGACTGTGCTTCCATTGACAAATGTCAATATACTATCGACAAAGTTTGTTTTGTGTTTCTGCGGTCATATTTCGATCATATGTCATTTGTTGGCACTGTAGACTATACCAACGCATGCATGAATGTTTTGTCTGCCTCCCTCTTCCATCTGGAAGTCAAAATTTGAACTTCTTGAGGAACAAATGCCATTATTATTATATTGCTATATGTCATGTGTTAGTAGCATGCCTTTACATTCAGCCAAACCATGGCCGTCTGGATTGAAGAAACTAGATATAATCCCCTGTTTGATGCAGATGAAGAATCTAGTAGTGATATGTTAGGCCGGATACACACTAGCGAGCTGTTGCATGTAAGGTAACGGTTACTGTAACCACATTCTGTTCGTGTGGACACCTTCCGAACCACGCTCGCAAACGTACTTCGAGCGCGCTCTGTAACACGACCGGCGAGCCACTGCCTTGTCGGTTTTTGCTACGAACACAAAGGGACTCGCAGTAGGTTCGTGGACACCATAATCACTTGCTCATAAATGTGTACGTTTCCTCCGAGCCAGGAGTAGCATTGCGAATTGCTATGTCTTCATGGCGAGCTCACCACGAGCACTATGGATCGGGCCGCTTGAAGCTGGTTTAATGACTATGGACTTGTTGTCCATACAAAGATGTGGTTACAGTAACCGTTACGTTACATGCAACAGCTCGCTAGTCTGTACCCGGCCTTAAGCGAAGAACTTGATATTGACTATGATGATGAGATTATTTTGGAAATTGAAGGAGACACTACAAGTGAAGAAGGAAAACAAGGAAATGTCAGAAAGTGAGTGTGAGAGCTAAACAAGTGTAGTGTGTTAGTGGGTGGGAAGATGTGACAATGGACAATGATGCATGCTGAGAACTGATGCCACCGAATAAGGCAACTGGGCCATCAAAAATATAAGAAAGTACATGGGGTAATAAGACATATAGAGGAGCAATTTCACAAAAATTTTGTGCCACGTAAAAACATTGTATTAGATGAATCAACAGTTGGGTTCAAAAACAAAATAATTTTTGTAACTAATAATAAAAAAAAACGAACAATGTGGGGCATGAGATTATTTGCATTAGCTGAAAGTGACAATGGTCATGTTCATAGTATAATTCCAAATTACAGAAAACTTACAGGCAATGTGTGTAACTTACCATATTCTGAAAAACTGCTGATTTCAAGAATATTCCTTCCCTTGATGGACAGACTATGACTCAGTGTGTCTGGTATTGAAGACTATCATCATTTCACTGACAGATATTACAGTGGTGCAGAGTTTGCCCAAGAACTGGACAATCAAAAATGCAAGTACACACTTGTTCTTTATATATATGCCCTTTTTGCACCCAATTTTTGGGCAAAACAGTTCACTCAGTGGCTTGGCAGGCATTTAAAAACCCGATGACCTGGCTGCAGAAATTTTTCTAAACGCAATGACCGGAAAGGGTTCAACTGGTCCGATTCTCAAAATACCCATTACTATTCAATTCCAAATATACAATCTTTCCATCATTACACATGTTACACAATATACGTTACCTTCATCTCATTACTGCTCTCAACTACAGTCTGTCTTTCCTCCCGTTTCGTTTCGGATTTAACAGGAACACCTTCTGGGGAGGATGTGGACACTTCAACCTCTGCACATGTATCAGGAGCCATAGTCGAGACTTCTACCTCATTGAGGGCAGGGGGCGTTATGGTTGACTCTTCACTTTCACCATAAGGTAGAGGACCTGATGTTGTACCATCATCTTTAGTTCTTTGCACCTCATCAGGTATGGCCGTATCCGTCTCGTCTGGCATTTCTACACACTCCACATTGTTTTCACCGTTTGACAATGTCTTTCCCTTGTCTATATCCATGGCTTCTGTCTGAACTACCTCTTCTGTGTCAACACTGCCAGCATCTTCATTTTGACCTGCTGATTCTTTCTTGCTAGATGGTTCTTCTGCAATAGGAATTGCAACCTTTCCTTCATCTTCACATGTTGTTGCTGCTGCAACAGCAGACTCCAGGTCTCTCCTGATGGCTTCCATACCATCAACTCCACCTGCACAAAAATCATTGTTTTCAACCAATATAAACACACACAGATGCATATATAGCAAATATCCAGGTTACTATGACATGTGTCCCACCTTCAAACATAAGCAATTAAGACAAGTTCCTGATGACATTATAACATAATGTCTTGGGCTGTTAACAGTACTATCTTCTGTGTGCTCTTGTAGATATTTACAAAGCATGTGTCTTAGTGATCTTCTAAAGAGACCATTTTCGTGAAAATGATGACAGCCTGATGACAGACAAGCTATTGTTGGCAGACCCACTTACCAGCAGAATCAGTATTACCTGCAACCAGTGCCTACAGCACTCTACTGGTGCACTGTTGCCATTATTTCACACTTCATTATAATTTTACTGCATGGAGAGAAACTGCTAAATCCTTACGTCAACCAATTACATGTTCCCTAACGGATGTTAGGGATTACCTCACCCTACAGAACATTCTAAAATTACATTAAAGTGGGTCAATGCAAAAGGAGAAAGGACAATACTGTACGTGTGCACAACACTGATTTTTGGCATAAAGCCTGATGATTTCAGTACAATTTTATTAACAAATTATGAAAATGTTCTACCACCCACAATTTATTTGGTGGGGGGGGGGGGGGGCACANGGAGCACACATTCCTGTTTCTTTTAGAAAAGTGTAACATCTCGCAATAGGGCGTGTTATAGCTCAAGCGGTTAGTCACCGGCTTCCCACCATGGCGCCCTGGTTTGATCCCGTGTCTGGTCAAGTGGGATTTGTGGTGGACAAAGTAGTGCTAGGGCAGGTTTTCTCCAAGTACTTCAGTTGCCACTGCCAATCTTCATTCCACCAAATTCTCCATCATCATCATCACCCAGAGCAGGTACAATAGGCCTATCAGTGGCCGCCATGCTGAGTGGACGCAGCTGGACTCCACCTCACACTAGTGGAGGGGGGAGGGGAATGTCGCAATACCTTTCTCCTATGGCATGTTGCATGTTGTCTCTTGAAAATGGTGGTATATACAGAAGAACATTCAAATTTACTACAGTAACCAATATTTTCTTTAAATGAGAGATAAAGTTGTTCAATGTAACTGAAAATGTGTCAACCTAAACTGGGAAGATGTAACGACGGTACAGTTAAGTAACTATGGAATCACTCTTTTGCTGACATACCTTCTGCTGTAGCACTTGCAGTATCCTTGTTTTGTACTTTCTGGGAGGTTGGTGTTGTTGCAACTGTCTTCACAGCAGGCAACGCTGATGTCAGGAGGTTATTATTGCTTGAATGGCTGTTAACTTTCCTGAGGAGTATGAGAAGCTCTCGACGAACACGTGCTTTCTGGAGGCAGAGTGGGGAATAGCATGATGATGCGACACTGGCAGGAGACCCAAGATGCTGGGCCTTACTCGCATTACACTGCGTGGAATAACACGACAGGCTACGGCCAAGACGTGTTAGTTTGGCATACTGCTGACGTATGGCCGTGACCCGTCGATTAATGGAATTGAAGACGTCTTTACTTGGCCCTCCTGCTGCACTGGTACCATTGTTACCAACACATAACTTCCCCAGAAATAATGAGGGTAACAACTGCTCAGCAGAAGACACACTATCGCCCTCTGCATCGTCACTCTCCTCATTCTCCACATCGACTTCACCATCACCATCACGATTAGTTTTGCCATTTTCACCCTCACATGGACTCTTATTCATATGCTTATTTGCCTGGTAAACAAACAATACACAGCTACTGATGACAACACAGAATTATGTATTAAGACAACAAACACATCCAGTCTCTGGCCAATCACACAAGGAAACTCATCACACAAAGTAGAAATATTACAGCTAAACTGCTTTTTAATGGAGATCTGGTGGAATGGCTTTTCTTACATAAATCAAGGTTTTCACTAAATAAGCAGATGCAAAATTACATCAAGAAGAAAATCATCATGTTATTACTGCACATATTTATGATAAAGTGATTTCCTTAATTAACTGGATTTCTACACAGAAAAATACAATCACACAATCAATATAAAATTAATTTCTAAAATAACTGACATGAAATAAACACAGTGGCTGCAGGGAAATGGCTTTCAACACTCAGAAAATGTAAATATCAACCAGACTAAATCAAGATACAGCTCTCTAAGGTCAAGAATGTGGGTCACTTACTAAAGTGAAATTCACTATGAGAAAATAATACTGCTACATTAAGAGCTACATACATTCTGGGCAAATTTCCTTTCTTCCAGAAGCTTCAGATGTGTCCTCCTGGTCAGGAACTCATCTAAACGAGATTTCTTTGCTATCTTCGGGTAGTGTAATCTCCCACGTGATGTTAACGCCTTTGTTATGTCAATCTCCTCAAACTTGGAAATTGGAGGAAACACCCTTAAATGTTTCAGAGCACCTGAAACGAATTCTGCAATTGTATATACAGACACATAAGTGTAACACAAAGAATTTCTTCAAACTTAGGTTCAGCCATATCCAACCTCACTCCCAAGAGTTCCAATTTAACTTGCAGGACAATTACAGACCAAAAGAATATACTATGTTAAAGGAAAAATAAAACACCTGACTCTATAGTCCCTGTACATGAACTACTAGAAGAATGAACAGGCAGCAAGCTCTTGTGACATGATGCCAGAACAGAACAGACTACAATACAATACAATACATGTGCCGCTGATGAACTATATATATTTCAGAAGGATTTTACTGAAACTTTGCACTTACTTTCTCTACCTCCTTTGGTAATGGATTCTTGTTTCACCTTAGCTTTCCCCACATCTGCTGCTGACAGGACTCCGTCAGGTTCTGTGGTGACTGCTCCTGTCTTACTTTCTTCCTCTTCTTGTTCCTGTACCTCCTTCACTTCTGCTTTCTCCAAGCCTTCAAGAACTTCATCCTTAACTTTATCTTTGCTGTCATCCTCAGCAACAGGTTCACTTTTCACTTCACTGTTAACTTCTGACTTTACTTTCTCTTCTGCAGCTGCTTCATCTTCTGCACATTTCTTAATCAGAAACTTGTAAGTGTTGGGATCAACTGCCAAAACCTTAATTTCCTTACCATCTGCAAAAAAACAAAGAACCAAAACCTGAAATTTAACACTACAAGGGCTATGTTCTGTCACATGCATGAGTAACTACTGATGGGCTTTGGACTGCATATTTGATTTATTGGCCACTTTTAACACATAACTCATAATTACATTTAATTATAGTGCCACCGCTGATCTCCACACTTTACAAATCACTGTTAAGCACACACTAGTGTCTCAGTATGTTACTAGACATTTCCTGCTAACAGCTTCTAACACTGGAGATTCTTCAACTTCTACGCTCATGTTCCCTCTGAACAGTGACTCCATTCAAACTGACTCATGGCCATTTCATACCAACTTCCTAATCTCTTCTTCACTGCCTAACTACCAACTGACTCAGCTCTAACTTTGTCCCTTGCTTATAACATCTCAGCACAGAAAACACCATTCCTCTGTTCCATACATATCCATTGCCACAGAAACGTGTTTAGTGGGCCATTCCCTAGCAGTGGCCATCTATTCCTGCTATTAAGAATCTGCTGCCTAGCAACAGTCACCCCATTGTTTGTTTCATGGCCATCACCTAGAAACAAATGTCGTTTCAGAGTCATTCGCTAGTAACAGCTGTTTCTCTGGCTCCACAGTTTTTGCTTTCAGCAAATATGCCACAATATGACCTCATGTGAGATCCTGGACCAATGGAATGTTGGCTGTGATGTCCTCAGAGTGATGACTATGAAGAGCGGGGTTTTCACGTCACCGTGTCTTGTTCCTTCTCAGACTTCTGTGCGCAAACTGAGGATGGCTCGAGGGGAACATGGGCGAGTATACTGGAGGGGGAAGTGTAACAGCTCAAAGGAGATGTGCAGGGCATCGTTCCATGATCCTTTTTTCTGTGGTCTAAATGTTCTCTCACGATATCAAGACACAAATATTTCTGTAGTCAGAGGGCATGCTAGTGCAGAACCATCTGAAAATACATATAGAGAAATTAATATTACATGGAACTTAAATTCTGGCTCCATTACCTTTCACTTGTACCATTACTTTCTGTGGGCCAGCCCGCAAACCCATCTTATGGCAATCTTGAATCTTGAATTTGCGTGATGTGGACAGCCAAAGCCAACCCCACTGTCCATGCACACGATACTCCTCGCCCTTTTGTTTCCACACCTTAAAAATGCAATGAATTAAGTGAAATGTACCTCATAATTGAGCTATGTAACAATTATTACACTAAAAGCGAAAAAATGCAAGATTGTAAAAAAAAACATTCAAACACAATATGAAATTAGCTTAAATCACATATACGTTTTATATTACCATGAGTACTTCCCAAAAATCCAAAGATCAAAATTTATGGAAAACTATAATATCAACAGGAGCCAGGATAGCTCAGTGAGTACAGCAACAGGCTACAAGCTGGACTGCTGGGCTCGATTCTTGGCAGGGGCGGATTTTTCTCTTCCCAACTGTGTCCAGACCAGCCCTGGGGCCCACCAAGCCTCCTATTTAACACATACTGGGGGCTCTCTCTATAAGGGTAAAGTGGATGGGGAGTGAAGCTAACCACCCATCTCCGCCTAGTGCCAAGGTCAAGAATGGTGGGGCTATACCTCCACCCCCTCATGAGTCTTCATGGCATGGTGCTTACTTAAATCAGCACAGGGTCGACTTTAACTTTTTTTTATTGCTAGTGGGGTGGGACTAAGTCCCTTGTACTGCGGTCACTTCTGACCTATTGTACCAGCCCCGGATGATAGGTGAGGGTGATTGTGGAGCTATTGGTGGAATGAAGATGGGCAGGGGAAACCAAAGTACTCAGAGAAAACCTGCTCCAGCGCCACTTTGTACACCACAAATCCCACTTGAGCAGACCCGGGATCGAACCCAGGCCGCCGCAGTGGGAAGTCAGCGACTAACCACTTGAGCTATGGCGCAGCCCCAACTTTACCTTACTATAATATTAACACACCAGTAGTGGGCTCTTGTGTACATAGTAAGGAACCTTTGGGTCCCATAAAAAAATGGGTAACTTCTTGAACAAGTAACCATTAGCTTTTCAGCAAGCACTCTTCCCCCTTCTATAATATTAAGTGTTTTGAGGTTTTCACGGCAGTGACAAGAGTACGGTATCCAGGACTGTAACGCCATGTAGGTCATAGTCAGCAGTGCTATGACTGATCAGGTCACAACCACACCTTGTAGGCATAATTCCAGCAACCCCCATGAGACCACATCAGTACATCCACTCAGCAGCTTCGGAACTTGTGTACTACTGGAACTGTAGGGAACAAGAAACCATGCTTTGTCCCTGCACGTCACGAGCAAGAACAGAGAAGACATAAACCTAGTTCTCTTGATGAATATTTCATTCAACTACATGGCATTACAACCTGGAAGATCATGCTCCTCAATGTTAATAACGAAACTTGATCTCTTACTCCGAAGGAAGTATACCCAGGGTGGTTCACAATAAAATGTAACATGCACGTATTTGGAACTAAGAGTGACTTCTCAGTGTGAACACTCCAAAAATATTTTACAAATTGCTGCTACAAAAATGTTTATCTTAGATTCTTGTTCAATTGGAATTCAAAGACGTTTATCTATCATGTCCAGAACACACAGGCACTACACAACCCGCACAAGGGACAAATGTAAAGACTATTAATATACCTGATGTTTTAGCCCAAGTGTGTATTTAACAAAGTTGTACGTTAATCTATTTCTTTCTTCTTCTTCCTCTTTGTCCTTCTTATCTTTCTTATCTAATCGCTTCCTCTCTTCCCGCTCGGCAGAGGTCAGTCGCTGCATTCTGACATGACCCAGTGCTTCATGCCAAACAGACGCAAACACAACAGGCTTAATACAGGCTTGAAGGACAATCAGAGCACGGGCAAAATCACGAGGGTTGATGCATGCACTGACAGCAGTGATCCATGGCTTCCTCAGAAGTGGCCAATTTGGATGCATAAAAGAAGACTGGATGCTGCTCTCGAGCTGTAGAATGGTTTGTCGCAAGGTACTAACTAGCAGCGCTCGAGTACCTGTCAACACAATTTCCAGATGAAACTACTGCATCCTGGTATTTATATTAATGCTTCAGCTTTGTCTTTTACCATGTTTTACATATATATTACAGCACTAACCTAATAAAACAGCCTTGAATAAAAACTGCTTACCATATAAGGATCCTATCCATTTAAACTCAGATGCCTGAGTAAGAGAAAATTTGTGCGACAGATGGCGTTTCTTGTCCCTTTCTTCATTACGTTGCAATTTGTTCAATGCTGCAATATTTGTACTGTACTGATTCACATAGCTCTTGAATCCATTTTCCATCCCCAATTTGAACATGTAGGTACCTGAGAAAAAGAAAATTCTGTTAATCACATGCTGGGTAAGGATGTAACAGTCTGCTCAGTTCCAGTACCACATGGACCAATATCACAGACTTCATGCAGATCATGGAAGTCTCTTACTCGGTCCCTCAAAGAAAGGAACAAGGTCAGCAAGGATAACTTAGAAATGAACAACACAAACACCAACACATACAAAATGCAATATTAGAAGCATAAAAGAAAATAAACACCAAACAGCAGTACACAACACATTCAACACCTGAGGTAGGAACACAACTGTCATCATAGAAACACCCTCCAAGGAACTACTATAATGACTGACCAACACACAACAGAATTCCCACCATAGCATCAACGTCCTGGGTAGCCCCAACAAACAAAACAAAACTGTAACTTCATAAACACAATAATTGAATATACATATACACCTTTAAAAAGCTCTAACACAGTGCATCACACATTACACAAAATCAACCACGTGCAACCCATGGACACCCAAATAAACTGATGGTAACCCACATAACCAAAATGTCCAGAGGCAACTACAACAGGAGGAAAGAAAGCCGCATTACAGGGAGCAGCAGAATTGATAACCACAACCTGTACACCTGAAGATGGCCAGTTAGGCCAAAACATGTAGTGTCCAATAAAGGAATACTACGAAAGAACAGTAAACAACGTTGCACACAGATGGCACAAAAGCTCCAAAAGCCAGAAGAAGACACTTCTAGTTAGCCCCCCGCCCTCCACAACAAAAAAGAGGGCTGATTCATCACTTCTCACTTCCACTCTGTAGGGATCCACAAAAGGATCATCTTTTCAAAATTCTAAAAATTTGATTTTCCATCCTGTAAGAAAACAAACGAGGGGTCTAGAAAAATGCAGCCTTTCTCACAATTCCATTTCCCTCCTCTGACAAAAAACACTGTGCACCCCGTGAAAAGGACCATTTTCCTATCCACTTTCCCATTGGCCCACAACAGGCTCCACTTCAATCCCCTTCGGTGGGAGTGGCCATCTTCCTTGCAACTTGTGTACACATAACCAAGCCAATTCCTCATCCTAAATACTTCAACCCATATGATGGAAGCAGAATGTATCTGAGGAAGTATGTGCAATGCCCTTGCACCCCATTCCCCCACCCCCAAGTTTCCAGTCTTCCTTAAGGGAGGAAAGTTATGTTAAAAGTAAACGAAATGCCACGTTCATTTATACCTGTAGCTATTTGCTGGGCTTTCAGTCGTGTGATACGAGTCCCATCAGTACTATCTCTGTCCCCTTCTTTGTCTTTTTTATCTCCCTGCAGCTTATCCAACTCAGCCTTTGACATAGCTGCAGTGTTGCGACGCTTCAGGTCATCCATGTTAAACGTTCGTGGCTGCAACGAACCTGTCTTTGATCGTGTAAGTATGGTATGCTTCTTGCCTGTAAACAGATAAAAGATAAAGAACAAATGCACAAATTATTTACTGACAGTAAACAACTACCATAAGCTAGATAAATGATACAGAGGCTACATGCCTGCCATGGGTACCAGGAGTGGGGGGACAAGCCATCTAACCCCATCCCAGATTTTTGGGAAAATATCACAACCGGCATGAAAAGCAAATATGTCAAATGTAAATATAAAAAACTGTTAACTATTAAAAAATACATACTCTTCTATCCTGAATACTCTAGCCCAATCTGTAAAAAAAAAAGGCCTTAAACAGCTTCAACCTTAAGTTCTTAAACAATTTTTCTGGCTGACCCCCTGGAAAGAAAAAGTCCTGGTGGGGCCCCTGCCATCTGTGAACAGTAAGTCAAAACAAAACACTGGGACTAATTGAAATTTATGTGAGGCAAGATATTTTACTAACAAGCATGGTCAACTTAACCTGTCACCATGAATGTCACTCCACATTAAAACGCACCACCTGGTCCACAAGTACCAAGGCAACAATGTTTCTATTTACTGAACTGAAACTTTTCTAGTACTGATTATTAAAGGTAAAGTTAAAAAAAGTTGTCCCTGAGCTTAACTAATTAAGCACTATGCTATGAAGATGTATGGGCTAGTGGATGTATAGTATTGATTATTATAATAATTAAATAAATTGCCAAACAAAAGCATTATTAAAATTATTTTATTCAAGTAAAAATGAAATATGTCATACTGGCATTCAAACATATTCAAATTTCACAGCACATCAGTTCCTTACCATCTTTACCAATTTTTGTAGTACCTTCTTCTCCCTCTTTATCAGAATCTAGATCCAATTCATCTTCATCACCTTCTGAAGAAGCAAAGGAAGAGGACATTCTGATTGCTGAAAAAAAATTAAATTTGTCAGAATTGAAGTTCTCAGGGTAATTTCTTCGGTGTTCTGGGATGTGACGCCATTCCGTTCAGTATACATTCAATGACATTCTCAGGGAACACAGTGCCTCTATCTTCAGGGTTAAAGAGTAGGCTAAGCACGTAACCAGCAAGAAGCAGGTGGCAAACAGAGGACTCTATTTGCTTCCCGCATCTTTGCCAGTTATTACAGGCAGAATGTTCCGCCCCAAAACACAGAAAACTTCTTCTAACCATCATCTCAGTTTAAGTAATGGGTAATAAGACTGTAGGTGTAATTGCCAGAGGAACTATAAGAAAGGTGTTAAGATTTTGCATGTGCATGTGTGTGGACTTAAAGGTGCGGCAGCAACCATTTATATGAAACTGGGTGTGTAAAACTGTCAAGCTACTCATACAACAAGGATACGTACACAAGGACATAACAATTTGCTTACCAAGGATGAAATCTAACCATGCTGGTTCTCACATATGTGACTATGAATAGTATGTCTTCTGGCTCGCAATGTGGTGTAGTCTGGACACAGCTTGACATTTCTGAGGAACATTTCACCTGCACTTTATGAGTTGAGGTGTAAGGCAAGCAGAAGCAGGCTACATTCTCTGCAAAACATGAGTGCAAAATCTAGTCCGAGCCTGACTGGCGTGCATTAGGCCCCACACGTTTTGCTCAGCTTGCGTCTCGCTTGGCTTACTCTCTGACCCCAAAGACAGAGGCAAGATGTCCCTCAGAACTATTTGAACTAAATGGCATTACAAGGTGATTGTATTCTTCAACATTTATGATATTGGCAGCACCCAAAGCTAAAACTTGGCAACATATTGACATTTACTCCAGTTTCAATTTGTCATTGTGTTATTCTCACACTGTATTTACTGAAACCAAACACAGAATTGACATGGCTAACAAAATGTGTATTGTCCTTCAGCCCATATAAAAAAAAATTCAATGACATAGCGGCAGACGGCCACTATGCCAGAAGAAAAACAGGTGCCAACCAAGGATGCCATCGGAGGGTGTACATCAGGACAGCCATCACACCTAGGAGGGAGAAGAACTCATAAGAAGACCTACGAGATTGTCACCGTGAAGATCGCAAAGCGAATAGTCGCATCTTCTTTCAGCCTACGGCAAGACAAGGATTGGACCTTGTGGAGAGGTCAACCCCCTCCAAAACGGAAAAAGTGGTATAGCACATGGTGGAGGAACTGGTAACACATAAGCACCGGCCTCCCAAGCTAGAACGAGTGACTGAGCGACTAATGAATGTGAAATGGATTGACGAACACTGGACCATGGAATTGCTCGAGACGAACAATCCTAAGAAGGGAGCAGAGGATGTAATGGCCAGAGAATAGTCGTTGCAAGAGGAATAGCTGAAACAACAGGAGACGCAGCAAGTACATCCTTGGAAGAAAAGGAACAGGGATGCACTGTTAGGCTATTCGGGACGAACAGCCTTAAGGAGGGAGCACTGTGACCTATTTGCACTATGCAGGACACCCTTTCCCCCGCCAGCGGTGATGCAACAGCTTTGGAGCGCTGCCGGTGCTACGGTAACAGGCCAGTCAACACTCCGCCCCCTCCCGCAGTGATGTAATAGCACTGCCCACTGTGACGTAACACGGGACACCGCTGTTGACACAGGCAACAGGGAACACTATAAAAAGCCGGCTGAACAATATGTGACCAGTGTGTGTGTGTGATCAGGAGTGACACAGTGCAGATCGTGAAGTCGCTGAGTGCAACCGAAGTCTCACAGTCGCCGAAAGCAGTGGATGTAGTTGTGATACTGCCGATGGCAGTAATTGTAATTGTGAGTTGTGTGAGTGTGAGAACGAGTGTTCAATAAATTCGCTACATCCAAGAGGGCGTCAAGTTATTTGTCGTGTGACACACCCAACATGTGACAATTTGGTGTCAGAATTGGTTACGAACTTACACATGCGAAGAAGACATGGAGTCACTTCTACTGAAGGAGATAAGGGCCAACCAAGAAAAGGCGGAGGCCAATAGGAAGGCTGACAAGGAAGAAATAAAGGCCAATAGAAAAGCCTGGTGAGAAGAGATGGCCGCCTGGTGAGAAAAGATGGACGCAAAAACGGAGGCCATCCGAGCAGAAACGAGAGCCAGTCAGTGTAATGCAATTTCTTCAATTCTGAAAATCTGCGAGTTCTCACACTTATACTGTATTATATATAGGGTGTCCCAGGAGGAATGGACCAAACTTCGGGAGGGTGTTCCTTATGTTAAAGTATGCCGATATAACCCAAAACGCCTATGTCCAAAGTTGAATGGTTACAGAGATAATGGCCAGAGAAGTGTCAAACTTTGACCGGTGTTACACACTTGTTGATTACAAAATACATATAAAAACTGGCAGGAATATGTGGATTCTGTAATGTTAATAATGTACGTAACATCGAACTAACTTGTGAGTGACGTGAAGCCATAAAATTGAAGTATGAAATACTCGCTCGCCATGTCATAATTGTCCTTAGGGTTTCCAAGCAGTATACATGACACATGACTGGCGAACGATGAGGTAATATGGCTGCGCTATAACCCGACCACATAACTGTATTAAACATACATCCACGGAAAATCTCTTTTGGAATTTAGTTTCCATTATCTCATGTGGATTATTATGGGACCACGTATGAATATTTCGTAAATTATTTACACCGTCCTGGGTAAACGCGCCTCATCACTGAATAAAATGACGCTTAACAGTTTGGGATGAGCTTTTATCCAGTGGCAGAAATCCATACGCTGAGCATGGTCGCCTGGTTCCAGATGTTGTACCCTTTGATCATGGTAAGGATACAACTCTTCATCATGTAAAGTTCGCCACACCTGCATACGTGATATGCCGATGCGAGAGGCCATTCTCTACGAGTGGACAGACGCGGACTTCTCTCAATAATTTCAAGAATGTTCTCTCGTGTGTTTCTCATTTGTACATCCTCCCTTTCCGACTGCACAGAAACACTCGGAAGAGAACCAGTCTCACGCAATGTCTGGTGAATTCGCATAAATACACGTCGAGATGGAATCCTTTGATCGGGAAAACGCCTTTGGTACTCTTCAACAGCAGCACGTGCATTGCCACCGCAAAATCCATACACAAAATGCATATCACAATACTCAACGTGTGAAAACACAAAAGGCATTTCAGCAACACCGCACAAGTACANAGTAGACTCTCGATTATCCGCGGTAATGGCGGGGAGACTTGGCGCGGATAATCAAAAACATCGGATAAACCGAAGTACACATATACAAGCCAGATATACCGGTATAAATTTAACATCGTTAATTTTTTACACCATAAAACGCTACTTAAGCTTACCTTTTGTGATGCAGGCCAATGGTTCTTCATTATAAAGCTTCTGAAGTACGGTACATAGCCTATTATAGTTGAAACTGTTCTATTGTAGATTTATACACTGAAATACACCTACACTGTAATTTTAACCACACTAATATCCTAATGCCGTAACACGAAAATAATTGAATCTAATACCATTATACAGTACTGTGCACTAAAATAAAGGAAGATGAATGAATACCAAAAACTACGAATGTTTAGGAAAAGTAGTCTGTTATTGATTTCTGTTTCAATGACATGGCTTCTTTCTTCCTTATGGTTGCTCTCAATCTGCGTAACACCAATTTGTCAGAAAGCAGAGAATCGCTTTGTTGCTCCAGAAACTCTAGCAAACCCTCAGTCCATTGAAGAGCAGATGAATTGCTTATCCTTGCATTAAAATATAGTTTTGCCTGTTTTGCGCAGATAATTCCTGAAACAGGAATGTTTTGTGCCCTTTGTTGGTTAAACCATTGCAACATTGCTTTGTCAAGCTCATCATAAGTTGGCAGTTTCATTGTTTTTCTGCCTGATAAGCCACTCGATGAATCAAAATTACTGGCGTAATTAATCAATTTATCTTTATTTTTTCTGAGATCGCGAACTGTTGTTTCACCTATACAATATTGTAAAGCTAGGTTTCTGGTAGACCATCCTTGCTCAAGCTTCTTAATTATGTCGAGTTTCTGGTTAATTGTTAAAACTACACGCTTCCTTTTCTGCTCCATTATTTTTAAATTATTGAAGAACCAGTCACAATGATAAAAAAAACAATGGTAATTCGGCACTTTCTCGCACAAAAACTTAAATTGTATTTTCCCACACAACTGAACTGCCTACTGTATTAATAACAACTGAAGAATGCAGTTCAGTGACAGACAGGATCGTACTCTTCTTTCAAAAGAACTCTCCTTCCTCCCACTACTACAGATTGACTGGTGCCTGAGTTTGGTCTTTGTTGGTCCCTTTGCTAATTGAGGTCTCACACCAGACAGATTTATGGCTCCTTGCTGGTCAAGGTTCTTTAACATTCTCTACTTGTTGGAAAAAGGGTAGGTTTCGAGCTTTCGAAACCTGATTTCGAGCTTTTAAGAAAAATAACGGGAGAATATCGATGGATGACGTAAATGCGAGTACAGTTCTCTCTAAATTATAGTAAACTAACATTGACTGTCATACAAAACATTTAAACAAATGTGATACTCACTGAAAAAAAAAAATCTTTAAAAATACATTGCCGCGGTTGAGCCGCAAAGCGGTTAAACAGCGCGCGGATAATCGAGAGTCTACTGTACACGTAATTTACTAACCATTCACGATGCTGACGCAAGATACACTGTAAGCCTCTGTAAGTAGCGCATGAGATTACAGCTAGTGTGACATCATCACACTCAAGGACAAACAGATAACAGTCACAGCTGAGAGGTACAGTGCGTGGACCCGCTAGAAGACCACACTTTTCTCGGGCCATTATCTCCGCAACCATTCGACTCTGGACATAGGTGTTTTGGGTTAGATCAGCATACTTTAACATAAGGAACACCCTCCCGAAGTTTGGTCCATTCCTCCTGGGACACCCTGTATACAGGGTNTGCTGGTTTATTATTTTGTTCCGTTTATTGTCAGTAATCGTTACCTTCTATTCTGATTTTAAAACGGTCATAACTCCGTAACCGTCCAAAATCGGGCATATGTTTATATGAACTTTTTTGATCACAAAGACCTAGGAAATCACCTCCTGCAGTTATGACCTAAAGTCGTGAAACACCCTGTATGTGTATATATATGGAACTTATAGACAACTTAAAGTCTTGCCTTCTCAGTTATGACACTAGACAGTATGCTATGTGGTTACCACCCATGTTTTGGAGGACCAGGGCATAAGTGACAAAGGTAAGAAATGGGAGGACAATACGCACTACAAGAAACTATATGAAAAAGAGACAAGCCTACGCAGGTCAAAGGAAATCCTGAAAACAGCATTTCATGAACACAGCTGTTGCATCCTCCTGTACTTTATTACCTGGTTCCCGCCCTAAATCACTTATATTCCGAAGATGGAAGCAGTATATTCTTATCAAATGTTAGTAGCCAGGCTACATGGTGTCATCACCACAATATGAATCTTCATAGCTGTGAAAATGTGATGTCTCGTATTTACAATCTAGCTAGTATGAACAGCATTATGCATTAACCTGACGTAGTTGTAGTAGTGGTGGTAGTTGTAGTTGTAATGACTTCTGTCACGTGCTCAGCTTCACCAGGACTGCCAACCTTAGTTTTTTCCATTGTTGCTGTTGTCATTGTAATACTGCTTGATGTCTCTGTAGTTTCCTGTATACATAAATATACAGCACAGCTCTTTAGAAACATGAATGTACAAACATAACACACATCATATTCAGTATTCCCTCTACAATAATACGAATATGTTGGACATTATGCACTGTCTGAAGTAGATCTGATATACCTGATGTTCTAGAAATGTCTTCAGGCGATCAGCTGTCATTACACTGACAGGCGTTTGGTATTCCTTATTTTGCTATTAGTGGCTCTAGTTGGGATTGAACCTCAGGTATTTTGGACAATAAGTTAGCACACTAACCACTGGCTACTAGCAGCATTATTAACTAAGCAACACACCATGAAAATGTAAGGGGGAGTGGAGATATAGCTCCATACATTCTTAACCTCCACAGCAGGTGGAGATTAATGGTCAGCTTCGTGCCTGTGCCACTTTACTCCTGGGGGACCCTCCCTTCATATATGATTCTTGACTGCAAAATAATAAAAGCCAACTTCCTTAGTCTACAACTGGCCAAGTACTGGTCACAGACAAGTCCCCACCTTAAAGACTGAGGATGTGATAATGTGCTTGGAGCAATGAGAGAATGATTAGCAGGGGAAAATGGAAGAAACCTAAAGAAAAACTTGTTCCACTGACACTGTCAACCATGAATCTCACGTGAAGCCACCAAGGACTGAACTTGACGATCCATGTTGAGAAACCGGTGACTAACCATGAGCACCTTGGAAAGCCCACAATAAAACGATCAATTATACAAAGGTAGTCTGATATGAAAGGTACAAGTGTTTGTCATACATCGCCTGTGCATGATATCTCGATGTCACTTGCATTGTCACTTGCATATACTGGTATGTCAGGTAGGGGAGAAGTAGCTGCACTAGTGTCGTCATTCTCCATCCATGTGTGTAAGTTTTATATGCAAACAAAATGGCTGGTATGATTTAAAATTATTCCAAGTGTGAGGTCCATGTGGTGGTCAGATTTTTGCAAGCATAAGGTGAAAGTCACAGCAAGATTCACTGCTGGTTAGTGAATGTTTATGGCCACAATGTTTTCAGCTGAAAGGAAGTGTCTGCATGGTGCAATTTAAAGATGGCTGAATGGCACACAATGATTATTCACAAAAACACAGAGGCAGACCAAGGACCTTGCACACTGATGAAATTATGTCACTGTCAAAGGTTTGACATGGGAAGAATGAAGACTCAAAGTTCATGAAATTGCTGACGTGACAGGTACTGCAAAAAGCACTGTTCATGAAATCATCTCAGATTTCAACAGCCGTGAAATGTCTGCTTGCTGGGTTCTGAAAATGCTCACCGAGGAGCATAAAAGCAAAAGAATGGCAACTTTGCTTGAAAATCTTTGTCATTACCAAGACGATGGAGAATCGTTCATGGAAAACATCGTTACAGGAGATGAAACATGTGTTTATGAGTTCACCCCAGAGTCAAAAAGAAACTCGATGACTTGGAAACATTCTCATTCACCCAATATAAAAAAAAAATTCAAAATTGAGCCATTTTCAAAAAATACAGTGGAAACCACGTTCTGGGATTGTGAAGGCCTCCTGCTGCGTGAATTTCTCCTTCCAAAAACAACAATCAACAGCGAAAAATACTGTGAAATTCTAGAAAAACTGCACAAAGCCATTAAATGAAAGAGACCAGGACAACTGACTGTTGGACTGAGGCTTCTGCATTATGGAACACAACCTCACACTCCAGCCTGGACAGCTGCCTGGTTGCAGAACCAAAGTGGGAAGTTCTGCAGCATTCACCATATAGTCCTGATCTAGCGCCACCATATTTCTACCTTTCGGCCATTTAAGAACTCTTTATCAGAAAACAGATTTCAGGACCAAAACGCATTGCAAAAAAACCAGTTGTGCAATACTATACGTCCCTTGGAAAGGAACACTACCATGAAGGAGTGTTTAAATTTGTAAAATGATGGGATAAATGTCTGAATACTAATAGTGACTATGTGGAAAAATAAACATTAGTATGTAGTGTTTCTTGACTTTCTTAAAGACGTTTTTTGCAATAAATATATTGATGTAATTTGGCACTGTACCTCTAATTCAGACCACCCTCATAATATAGTTATTATTAAAATTCTTCCAGCTGTTAAACCTACACAGTCTGACACATCTTATTGTTTTGACAATACTGTTACGTGAACAACAATTCCCACTGCCATGTCACTCAGCAATCATAAGTATCACAATGTACATTTCTTACAATGGTAACAGGTGACAAGCAGGAGGCAGTCAAGTCCAGATCCTTTGGCAGATGCAGCTCTGACTCAATGTGTCTGTCTGAGAGACTGAAGCTGGCTCCTACAGGAGGTGTCTCATCACAAGCCTCCTCATGCATCTTGCGTACCAACTCTTCTGCCTCTTGCCTTTCCCTCTCTCGACGTTCCTCTTCTTCCTTTGCTCGACGTTCCTGTCTTTCCTTCTGAATCTTCAAAAGAGCAGCTAGAAAAATGGCCATGTGAAATATATTAATCCCTATATAAATTACAATGTACAATTTGTATGATGACGTCTGAAAATCTCCGCCTGCATCAGAGGAAATAATATGGGCAAATGAACATAAGCAACTCTGGACAACAAAAAATAATATTCTGTTTTACCTTCTCATATACTACTCTGTCCAAAAAGTATCCGACCTTGGGCCAGGAAAAAAAAGTTCTGTATCTGGGTGGTTAGACCTAATACCCTTCAAAGTAGGCCCCTTGTGACTCCACACACTTAGCCCAGTGGTCCTTCCATCGCTGGAAGCAATTCTGAAAGACTTCATTTGGAATAGCGTGCAGCTGCACAGTCGCGTTCTGTATGATGTCCTCGCGGCTGTCAAAACGGCAGCCTTTTAGCGGTGTCTTCAATCTCGGGAACAGCCAGAAATCACAAGGAGCCATGTCAGGAGAGTATGGAGCCTGGCAAACGTGCGGAATGCCATGCTTGGCCAGGAAACCCTGGATCAGATGTGATGAATGAGCTGGGGCATTGTCATGATGCAGCTGCCAGTTGCGTGCGTCCCACAGCTCCGGTCTCTTGCGCCAAACTGCATCATGAAGATGGCGGAGGACTTCTTCATAGTACTCCTTGTTGACAGTCTGGCCTAGTGGTGCGTACTCATGATGCACAACACCCCGGTAATCAAAAAAAATTGTCAGTATCACCTTCACATTGCTCCGAACCTGTCGTGCGCTTTGGGCCTCGGGGATGTTAGATGCTTCCATTGTGACGCCTGGACCTTGGTTTCCGGGTCATATCCATACACCCACGACTCATCACCAGTGATCAGCCTTCAGGAACTCAGGATCCTTGTTGGCGCACTCAAGCATGTCCTGCGCGACCTCAAGGCGGAGTTGTTGCTGCTCCGGCACAAATTTTGCCGCCACTCTTCGCATGCTCAAATCCTCAGTTAAAATTGTGTTTGCGGAACCTCTGCTGATCCCAACCCCATCAGCAACTTCACAGATGGCCAAACGACAGTCCTCCATGATCAGTGTCCGCACTTTTTCAATGACATCACGACTGACAGTCTCCTGGAACTCTGCTCACTGTCCGCCGACATACAGCCATCTTTAAAGCGGTTGAACCACTCTTAAATTTGAGTGACCCCCATTGCATCATCGCCGAAAGCCTGCTGAATTTTGCGAATTGTTTCCGCTTGGGTATCCCTAAGTTTCTGACAAAACTTAATGCAGTATCGCTGCTCCAAGCGTTCTGTCATCTTGAGCGAAACGAGAATGCGACAAACACGTGTTACACCACTTCGCTATCTGGCAGCCACAGATGCATCCAGCAGTGTTGCGAGTCAGCAAAAAATCACGCATGCGCATGAAAGTTCCTTCTACCACTACGCTCAGTTTCCCCACCCCTTTGGCCATCATTTACAGCGGAAAAAATAAAGTCGGATACTTTTGGACATACGGTACATAGATATGCCAATTTCTTAATCCTCTGAAGCATACAATCCATCTAATCAGCATTAAAAAACTTACCTCACAAAGAATACACATCATCTCCACTGCAAAGATGATCCAGTTAATGTTCTTTACAGAAATAATTGCTGTTTAGTGTGACAATCATATAAAACACACAGTGTGGGAAAACTGTAGACCTTTTAAACACTAAAAACTGATGGTGCACATAATAACCACCATGTACTCTGCAGAAAAACTGCAGACTTTCTGAATGTTAAAGCAGGTTTTACATCTAGTTACCACAGTTTTTTAAAAGTTCAAATGGCAAGACTGGAAAAAATTTTCATAGGACCATACATGATCTACAAATGATTCAACTCAAGAGTTTTAAATGTTTCATATATGGGCTTTTAAATCACGAGTAACATGTCAATTGGTTTCAAATAAAAGATTTACTTATGTAAATGCAATGTAATGTCCACGTATCAAGTGGGGAACTCCTCAAAATGATGAGTTTATGCAGAGAGTTTTTGATGAGTCCTTATTTGGCTGGCATGAAAATCGGACATGCAACAAAATTAAAATATGAAAGAAATGCAATTTAACAAGCAGCATATGAAGCAAACTAAAGCACAGATGAATTAGTGGCATGAAGGATAATCTTGAAAATGAATCTCTGATATGGATATTTACTTCAGAAATATTATATAACTCACTGTTCTCCACATCAAGATACGACTTCTTGTTGCCTTTGTTCAGGTTTGTAAGTTTTTCTGTGATTTCCATTTGCCGTATAATTTCCTCCTTGAAATCACCGATCTCTCGCGCAAGAGCCACCTCCATAATTTCCCTATCAACTGTCTGCAACAGTTCCTCAAGCTGTACTGGGGTGCTGTAGTACCATACATCACCATCTTCACTCTCGCTGCAAGAAAACGTGAGAAACAAATAAAAAATGATGACTTGAGTTTCTCGCGTGGTGATAATGAAGATCACCATCTTCCAGGATGTGACACCGTGTAGTCTGGTACAAGTACAGAGAAGTTTTGGATGAACAACTGCATCCATATTCAGGGCTGACAAATATGATGAGTGAGCTGGCATCAATCAGAATGCTTGCCTGCATGGCTTACTCTCCAACCCTGAAGAAAGGGGCATTGTGTTCCTCTTACATCATTAAATTTTGGCCACACCAGACATCACATCCCAGAATATAGCATACTACGACTTCCTTCAGGAGATGATGGAAAGTCAAATCATGTAAGAAATTCTTTAGTGTATAATCATATGCATATCTCTATTTAGAAACTTGGTGTGTTGTGGTGTTCCTGTCCGAAGAAACAGCATGAATAAGAAACTCTGTATCAAATAAAATTACATAAAATGTATACATGTACATACACAAATATTCTCCTGGCCAGGAACCAGTATTTGCGACCGTGTCTATCAAACCCCAAGTGCTCTTGCCGGCAGAGCAACCCAGACTTCTCAGCATCTGGGATGCAATCCACAACTCCACTGACCTGTCCACACAAACAAGAACATCAGATGTATGCCAACAGTTAAAGTTCATCACAAAAAAAGCTGGTTTCGTTTACTTAATGACACTTTCAACTGCTAACATTACTATACAGCTGAGCATGGTAGGACGATCAGTGAATAATGAATTGGAGGGGACAAAGAAGAAGGAAGTCATGGCCCAATTCAAGGTACTGTCCAGACATTTCACTGGAGTAAAAGAAAAAGGTGAAGCTATCTCAGTAACAGGCCATGGAGGCCAATAGGACTGTGAGATGTACAGGTTTCCACTTTTTCTAGACAGACTCACAGATGGTGGTGAGGCTGTCAGCCTTACACACTGACTGCCCCGTACCCCCAGGAAGATTTTTGATACTCATTTCTGTTAGAGGCTGAGTCAGCCAAAGGTCTACAGTGCAGCTGGAAGGATTAGGTCAAATGAAAAATCCAATGACCTCATCAGGAATGGACTCTGTAACCTTCCAGCTTGTAGCAGTGCCCCCCCTCATTTTACCAGAGTGCCCAAAGAAAAACCTGAGGGAAAACCTAAGATGGGATAATTGGTAGCTGGACCAAGATTTGAACATGGGACCTCCCAAACAGGAAGCACGAGTGTCATCCACTTGACCATGACAACATTGCTCTAGCACACTAATAAGCAACACAAAGTTGTGGAGGAGGGACTACTTCAGCATTTACGTAAGGCCCACATCTGACCAGCTGGCTTGCAGAGTTCAGACCCAAACCTCCTTAAGCCAATTTCACACTGATGTAACTTGATCAGTAAGAGACAAAGCTGGCAAGTGTAACAAAATTACTAATCATGTCCAGTGGAGTGTTACATCTCTAGTTTCCCTAGGAAAAAAAAAAGTGAAATTCAATAAGTGGGGTTCTCACAGCAATGACTATGAAAATTACTGTCATCTAGAAAGTGACGTCAGGTGGTCTGGTAGAGAGGTACCAGTGTTTTCGTTCAACCTGCTGCTTCCATCTTAAAGGCAGAATTGTCACTCATCTATCCTGAAGATGGAGACAAGATACTGTTCTACCAGACCACATGGCTTCACATGCCAGAAGACAACAATCTCTGTTGGAATACCTCATGACAAAAACCAGATGTGAGCTTTGAATTTATGGTGCACCCTGTCTTCTAGATTATGACACCATGTGGTCAGGCAAGTGGTTAACCAATGTTTTAGAGGAACACAGTGCTTCCATCTTCAGGGCAGAACCTGAAGATAGAAGCTGCAAGTCTGTCAACCCATATACAATGGGAACCAATGGAAATTTCCCAGGGACACAGTGGCCATGGTGTGAAGCTCACCACTCACCTCCATCTAGCGCTGCGGTCAAGAATGGTGGAGCTAAACTTCACACAAGGACTTTACAATTTCATATCTAAGCCCATTCAACAAACTGGTTTACAGAAAAGTTCAAAATATCCATGCACTGAAAAATGCTAAAACACTGTAGCATATGTTCTGTGTGGGATCTATGAATGGAGGGTCACTGGGAGTTTACTTAGATTCTCAGAATTTTCCTTACTTTCACTTCATTATATTCCGTTCACTTTGTTCTCATTCCTCAATATGAAGGTAAATGGTAAAGTTGTCCCTGTGCTTAACTAATTAAGCACTACACTGTGAAGACATATGGGGGAGTGAATGTATAGATCAACATATTCTTGACCTCCCAACGTGAATAGCTTCCCCCGTTTTTTGCCACTCTGAAGATGTGAACAAAGTTATTTAGTTATCTGTGTCACTTTGGCGTTCTCTTTCATCATACAAATGGTATATGCCTAAATATACTAATTATGTCTTTATTTAATTTGGTTCAATTATTTGTCTTCTTTCTTCCTGTCTCCTTTTCCACAGACATTTCTGTCCACAAGTTCCTCCTTGTCTCCTTGCACTGTCTTTTCTCCTCATTTGTGGCGAAGGTCACTTACACATGTTAATACAGTTTTCAACAACAGGTTCTACACATGTGAAGTATCGAATTCATCTAATTAATCAATTTCTACATGGTGCCACATCCCAGAAGACGGCTTTCTCCATAGTCACCACCGTGAAAACCTCAAATCTCATCTAATTAATGTTTAAAAATTCAGTCTGTATCCATAGCAAACACTGTCTCCATAACGATGACCAACTGCTTAATGCTGGTTAGGGAAATAATCACCATTTACTATGAAAATCACATGAAAAACACAAATACACTGTTTGGGGAAACCCTAAATATTACAGCAGGTGATACATATAGTCACCAGTGCACTTTAAAAGGTTAGTTGTGTGATAAAAAATGGGGGTGCAAATTTTGCAATATCTAATATACCCCAACAAAGCTATGACTTCCTGTAATTGATTCTACAAATAAAAGTCTGATATATCATTTGTTTCGAAGATGATTTAAAACTCAGTTATGCCTCAAAATACACAGCTTTGCTGTTTGGGTACATCACTACCAACATGATGATATAAATATATTAAGGAACTTGACACAAATGGTATTTCTCCTGACTTGTATCCTCCAGGGGCCCAGTTTGAATCTTGGCTTTGGCACAAGTACCTGACTGACCTTTTTGTTATTTTCCCAACTCCTTTCAGGTGAATGCTGGAAAAGTACTTCAAATTATACCATGATAGCTAACTCCGCATTCTTTCCATTTCACTATTCACTAATAATCCTATCATGCTACACTATACAGTCCAAGCTACTAGCAGAAGTGTTGTACAACAAATAAATAAAAATATAATAATTTGGAGAACAATGTATGCCACTGTAAGGGCCCCACCTTTATAATGCAAATTTATTGGGTGCTAACAACCTAGCCGCACAGCGATGAAACGGTCCTTAGTAAGCTGACAGTCATTCAGTTATTCAAAAATTTATCCACCTTTTGTGGACCCTGAAAATTCATTACTAATTTCACTAGAGCAAGGTATGGTCCCTGTGCATGCATACATTTGCATGTATGTAAGATACCAGGCCATTTCCTATATTATGCATCAGTCTCAATATTTCAGTCCTAGTTTTGCTATGAATTCTGTCCAACTCATCGATCAATACTTTTATGAGTTATTTTACAACATGTCAGTAGCTAGACTATTATCGAATGGTAAATTGAGGTAAAAACATAAAGTTGTCCATGTGGTTAATTAGTTAAGCACCATGCCATGAAAACATAAGGGGGAATTGATATACAGATCCACGTATTCTTGACCTCAGCACTAGTAGGGAGGTGAGTGGTCTGCTTCACGCCCCAGCCACTTTACCCCCATGGAAAGAGCCACCAGTACCCTTTGAATAGGAGGCTGGGTGGGCCTCCCAGAACCAATCTGGATGACGTGGAAAGACGAAAATTCTTGTCCCTGCTGGGACTAGAACTCCAACCCCTCGACTGTCCAGCACAAAGCCAGTCGCTGTATCTACTGTCCTATCCTGGATCATATTATCAAATGATATTGTGACTTTCGAATAATGCACTGGAAAGACATTTGCAGAAGTGGATGTCGCCTAGCTGAGGTACTACCATGAATTTTTCCTGGGGGACAACCTCAGCCAAGATAACTGGCATCCAAGCTGAGATTCAAACCAGGCACTTCCGAGACACAAATCAAGAGTAATACCCTTAATGGAACCTTCCACCTCTTCTGTCAAGTCAATCCCTGTTATTGAATCCTTCATGCTTTGAGGGACAGCTATTTCTGCTGATGCAGAATTAAACCAATCTGCCATACCTCAAATGAACGTAACAATGTGTGCCATATCAACGCTCTCCGCATTTCAGTCGAGTACTAATGATAAGAATGAAAAGTGTGCATAATGTATTCCACAGGCTTTATGATACATTCTGTGACATCAGGAATTCTGTAGTATGCCGTGAACCAAGAGACACACATAATCAGTGTCTTCTCCTTCCTGGGAATATTAATTTTAAAATGATTACCAGTCACTCCTACATAAGCTCTCCCTCCAGCTGTGCAGTGGTTCATTTTCTTATACATTACCTGGCCTGACACAAGCCAGGATAGCATAGTCGGTATAGCGACTGACTACAGGTTGGATGACCAAGAGGTCGGAGTTCAAGTCCCAGTAGGGTGAGGAATTTTCTATCTCCACATTGTCCAGACCAGCTCTGGGGTCCACCCAACCTCCTATCCAATGGGAACTGGGGGCTCTTTCCCCAGGGGTAAAGCAGCTGGGTCACGAAGCTGACCACTCACCAAAAGCTAGTGCCAAGGTCAAGAAAATGTGGATGTACACATCCACTAATGCACAGACCTTCATGTGCTTAACTAGTTAAGCACTGGGACAACTATACCTTTCTTTTTTACCTGGACTGACACACAGATGGCTCTCAGAGCAGAACCTACTTAAACAAAAATTAGTGTTATAAAAGGGAAAATAGTTGAGAGATCTGAGATTCTCACAGTGATGAGCGTAAGACAGTGACCTCATGCAGTCTCGTGGGTATTTACCAACTTCTGGAGGAACGTACTGCCTCAAGCTTCATGGTCAAATAGTAAACTGAGCAAAAAAGCAATAAGCCGCTTGTTTCATTCACTCAGCCTACAACCCTGAAAATGGAGGCAACACAGTCCTCCAAAAGTATGTAAACTTCCACCAGTCCATTTGTATATTTCTGGCTCTCGCTCTGTCCGGTGCCATCCACCCATCTCCAATTCCAACCCCCTCCTTGCTTACATTTTGGTGTGACCTACCTCCTCCAACCAGCGTCCTGCTTCCTGATTGCAACGCATGAGGTCCCCATGAGACAGACACTGTATGTTGGCCATTCTATTTAGCCATGTGACTTGCACATGGCAATATTTCTTTTTTGTAGCACAGATTGTGCATGCAAAACCAGTCACAACGTGATCCACAGGTCATGGAAATCTGTGCTGCTACAATTGGGGGGGGGGGGNGGGGGAGACATGGAGATTCACATATTTCTTCTGGACCAACAGTTCTGTATTTGGTTGCACTGCCTCCCTTGCTG